AACTGCTTAAAAGTTTTTGAAAGTTATAAAAAAAACGATGGGCCGTACGGCATTTTTCCATCAGGCATTTTTTGTTGCAAAATCGATTTGCGACAAAAAATAATTTATGGAAAAATCTCCGAAACCCCATTGTTTATGAGGAAATTGATGACGAGCGTGTTTCGACCGATTAATCCGAAAATCACAGCGATCCCTCTGTCCATTTGCGCGACAATTGTTTAATTATTAATTATCTCATTAACCATGAGAAATAGCAAATTTTATCATTTAATCTTTTTTCTTGTCAATGAAATTTAACAAAAAAAAGGTGTCCTGATAAAATTTGCTAAAATGCTCGGTTTATGAGATAATTAATAATTAATTAATTGTTCGACAAATGGCAAGGGGATTGCCCACGATTTTCCCGAAAATCCTCACTGGCGCTCCTGTTTTCGCCGTTATCTTTTAAACAATTAGGTTTCTGGCATTTTTCCATTAATTATTATTTGTTGCAAATTGAATTTGCAACAAGATAATTTAAAGGAAAAATCACATAGGCCCGATTGTTTATTTAATAATTGCCATTAACTGCTTAAAAGTTTTTGAAAGTTATAAAAAAAACGATGGGCCGTACGGCATTTTTCCATCAGGCATTTTTTGTTGCAAATTCGATTTGCGACAAAAAATAATTTATGGAAAAATCTCCGAAACCCCATTGTTTATGAGGAAATTGATGAAGAGCGTGATTTTGGAAGGTAGGGAAAATGAGAGTTTTATGTTAGAAATGAAGTGGTGGCCCTGAAAAGGGCCGATTTTTTTTGCTCCATCGGGAGAAGGTACGATGAAGGGAGGTTCTTGCTACAGAAAGTTTTCCACGTGGCCTCCACCTGCATCAAGGCACAGCCTCGCCCTCCTCAGAAGATTCCCCCTCATGGCCACCAGCTCATTAGGGGTGATAGAGGCAACTGCAGCGTGCAGCAGTCCGACGACTTCTTCCTGGGATGCTGGATGATGAGCGTATATCCGCGACTCCAGAGTCCCCCACAAGAAAAAATCCAGCGGAGTGAGATCTGGAGATCGCGGAGGCCACGCCACCGGTGGTTGGCGGTTTCCACCTCTATCCCGGTCGCTCTTGTTCCCGATCCAGCGATCCGGGAACCACTCATTCAGAGCCTCCACCACAGCGACACAGGTGTGAGCTGGAGCACCATCGTGCTGAAACCACACATCCCTCTCCGCAGGACCGTCCCCGATGACATTTACGAGACGATCTTGTAAAAATCCCAAGTAATTGCCACCCTGAAACAAGAAAATCAAGATTAATTTCAAACAATAATTTTTCTTAAAGTAGCTGATAAACATTACTCACGTCGAGACGTCCTGGAAGGTGATGAATGTGGACTTCATCACCAATGATTCCTCCCCAGATGTTCATATGGTCCCAACGATACTGGAAATTCGTTTCTTTCGTGAGACGAGGATTTTCAAAAGCCCAATGATGCTCATTGTGCTGATTGACAATCCCCTTTCTCACGAAAATCTTCTCATCCGTCCAGCAAACGTTGCGTATGAACTCTGGCTCGCGACTTCTCTCGAGGAGCCATTGGCAGAAGTCCACACGCTTTGGGAAGTCCTCCGCCTTCAGCTCCTGGACCGGGGTATATTTCCAGGGATGCAAGCCCTCAACCCTCAGCACGCGATGCACCGTGGAACGGGTGGTTCCGAGGGCCGATGCAATTCCCCGGACGGACAACTCCGGAGAGTTCTCGACCGTCTCCAGAATCTCCTCTTCCACGTGGACACGATCACCACGTCTAGGGCGCCCTTCCCCGTGCCTTGGGAGGAGGTTACCCTCCCTCAGCCGCTGGTATGCACCTTGAAAGGTGCGAGGGTCAGGATGCAACCGATTCGGAAACTGCACCGCATAAAGTCGGGCAGCTTCTGCTGCAACTCCCCCCGCAACACCGTACACTGCAACCATGTCCGCGTATTCTGCTGCCGTAAACCTCACCATTATCACACTTAATCACACGGCTGTCACAAAACGAATGACCACTCCGGCAAAAAACAGTGAAAAAATTCGTAAAACAAAAGACTCGCGCGCGAGAACACGTGCATGCTAGAAAAGGACGCGAGATCATCGACAGGGCGATCGCTGTGATTTTCGGATTAATCGGTCGAAACACGCTCGTCATCAATTTCCTCATAAACAATGGGGTTTCGGAGATTTTTCCATAAATTATTTTCTGTCGCAAATCGATTTTGCAACAAAAAATGCCTGATGGAAAAATGCCGTACGGCCCATCGTTTTTTTTATAACTTTCAAAAACTTTTAAGCAGTTAATGGCAATTATTAAATAAACAATTGGGCCTATGTGATTTTTCCTTTAGATTATCTTGTTGCAAATTCAATTTGCAACAAATAATAATT